TATATATATATATATATATATATATATATATATATATATATATATATGTGTGTGTGTATACATATGTACATATATATGTATACACACACGCACACCACATATTTCTGTTATTCATCATGCGTTCAAAGTGGAATGCTCTCAAATGTGGTCATGTGACTAGAAAGCCACTGAAAACCATGATAAACACCTGAATTTTTATACAAGTATCTCCTTATCGATGTCGCTTGGTATCTATTACCAATCCCGTGTCCGTTGGTAAGCCGTTGATGCCACATTTAAGCTACCTTCATTTTCCATACCACCACAGCCTCGTACCCAAATGATAAAATCTAAACCCATACACTCTAATCCGTACGTATATACCGTTTAATGTCGTTCTTTATTCGCGCGTGCTAACTCCCCCTCCTCCCGCATTATAGCCTCTCTCTCCCGTTTAAGCACATCCTGCAGATTACGTTCAAAGTCTCGGGTGCCCTTCTGCCGTTCCATCTGTCTTAACTGTTCCCGTCGTATCTCCAGCTTCAACTGTCTCTGCCGCGTCAACCGCTGCGCCTTCTCGTCCAATCGTACGCTCTCATTCTTCATCGTGCGCACGTGCTCATCCACCGCCTGTGCACGTGTTTGGTCGTCGGCTACCTCTGCATCTCTCTCTGCTTCCTCAGTGTGTAGTAGTTCCAGCGCTGCGTCTCTCAGATCGTTCTCCTGTGGGCACACGTGGGGTGTACGTGGTCAGAGTGTGTGGGTGCACGTGGTCAGAGTGTGTGGGTGTGCGCTTAATAGTACAAGTAAGGGAGCGTGTGTGTCGAGTTACGAATGTATATCTAAAACTAAGACGAGTAGAGTGTCTGTCCACGTACGTCCGGAGCTAGTGCAGTTTAATGACTGGCGTGGGCATGGTCGTCAGTTCAACGTGTTAGGTACAGTCCAAGATCCGGTGGGAATATGCGACCACACCGCAACAGACTATCACGAACAGACAACACTCTGACTCGGACAGATGTCATATGCAATATGCTGAAGCTACTGGATGAAGTCTTTACGGTTTAGGGTTTTTATATACCAATCCTCACTACTGGATACTGCCACCACCCATACCCATCACACACCCCCAACAGACGTGTGTACCGATATAATGTACATCATTTCGAATATGCCAAGTGAACCTTTAACCCTAGACCTCTGGCTCTAATAGCAGACGAGTTGTATTACTATTGCAACAGTGATTCATATGTATCTAGCATGTGTGCGTGTACCTGGATATTGAGTAGCCGTAGTCGGCGTTCCATGTCTGATCGGCGTGCATTTTGTTCCAGATCGTGTTTCTGAAGTTCGGTCTTGACTCGGCGCCTGAGATCATTCCTACACACAAGCATACGATGAACACAGTATCAATCAATGTATGGAGAAATTAAAGCATACGGTGGATACAATGACAATGTACACACACACACACACAAACAGAGAAACGGAAACAGACAGCGACACACACACACACACACAAACAGAGAAACGGAAACAGACAGCGACACACACACACACATATATATTTATATATATGTATATAAATATACGCGAACACACACCAACACCCCCCCCCCCGCACGAAAGCTTTCAGTTACCCGTGCGTCTGGATCATCACTCGCTGCAGTTGTTCGTTCATGAGCTTCTCTTTCGCCACACGCTCTCTCTCTGCCGCAGCGGTTGTACTGACGGCCTGCTCGTGCAGTGCTCTGAATTTGTCGGCAGCCATTTGCAGTTCGGTACTAATTTGTTCTTTATTTTCTCGTTTGATACGATTCCATACCTGAAAGACCAGTAACCATATCAGATAGATAGTGGGTCATCTATATGCTAATGGATATATATATATAAATATATATAAATATATATCTGCACATATACACCACAACACACCTCATTGAAGGTAACACGTTCAGCACATCCCACAAACAACATAAAATACCAAAAAGACATTGCTTGAAAACAACACATACACAACATATATCATCAAACTGATTCACAACATATATCATCAAGCATATACTCACATATTCAAGACATACACATATGATTAATCACATACTCACATATGATTAAACATATAGTCACATATGATTAAACACAACACATATATGATTAATCACATGCACATAACTTCAAACACATACATAACGTAGCATATCTCATTGAAGATATTACGCCAAACACAACCCATACACAACGTATTGCACACATACACATATATAACACACCTCATTAAAGGAAACCCATACACAACACACTACACACATACACATTTATAACATACCCTATTAAAGATATAACCCATACACCACACATTACACACATACACATATATAACATACTACACATATACACATATATAACACACCTCATTAAAGGTAACCCATACACAACACATTACACACATACACATTGATAACATACCTTATTAAAGATATAACCCATACACCACACATTACACACATACACATATATAACATACTACACATATACACATATATAACACACCTCATTAAAGGTAACCCATACACAACACATTACACACATACACATTTATAACATACCTTATTAAAGATATAACCTATACACAACACATTACACACATACACATTAATAACATATTACACACATACATCTATAAAACATATTACACACATACACAAATACAACGCACCTCAATCTAGGTCAAATACAATCCATACACATCTATAACATATTATACACATCACATATACAACACACCTCATTAAAGGTAACCCATACACAACACATTACACACATAC